GCCGACAGGGCTCCCCCCAGAAAAATTCAATTGTACTTACCGACGACGTAATTGAGCCAACAATATGGGCGATGACGTCACACCCTGCATGATCGCTCATGCACGGTGCGTCCCAGAGGCGTCGCGCATGGTCTTCAAGCAGCCAGAGTTGCCAAAAATTTATTTTTGCGTCATTATTTACAGTGTCTAGGCCTATTTAAATTAGCAATATTAGTCACTAATTGTGTTGCACATAATGTTACATCATAGTCATTGTCAATAAATGTTGCATACATCGAGTATACACATGCACACACAAACGTTTTCCATTACGCCATTATATTATGTAATCACAATGTTCATTATTATATGTACACCCAAGCACGCACTATGTACAGGTTTTTGCGCTATTATTGCACATTTAGAATTCTTGGAGAGAGTGATAGTCGTTGAAACAGTCGACAACACACAATGGAACTGCACACGCTTCACACCATGTTTGCACCACTTTACGTTTCTGTTCTCTTCTTTTTGTTGTTTTACATACTAGGCATTCACGTTGGCCTATTGCACCCTTTCCAGCTGGAGGCAAATGTTCTAGTCTGTGTTGCTGAAAGGCCACCATGTGAGCAAGCCTGGGTGTAGCAGCATGCTGCAACACTGGGTTCATGATGGGTCTTTGCATGCCAGGGACATCTTTACCAAACTTTGCTAATAACTGTGTCGCAAGTGTAAAAACAAATGCACGGAAACTAGGTTTACTTCCAGTTTTCACAAGATACATATTTTAGCAGTTCAACATGCTCATGTCAACAAGATGGAAAAACACTTTTTTCGTCCATTTCAAAGTTTTCCACACACACTCGATAGTGCCAACCATCATGTCAGCCTTATCAATCAAAGGCATGTTGATATTATAGTCAAGAACATAATCTGGCTTATATACTGGTTCTTTCGTTACACGGTTCACCTTGCCACTGTTCACCAATGTACCCTCATGAACGGTTATCAGCAAGTTCACTTCTCTCTTGTCTTTCCACCGAACCGAGAGTATTTGATCACATTTCCGTAGCTGGCACTCACCAACTGCAAGTTTACCGTCAAACACTGGCATTTCCATTCTTCCTGCATTTACTGTGCCAACCAACCCGGTTCTATTTGCAATCAAGAACCTAGCTAGCAATGTACTTGTATAGCAGTTATCTGTGTATAAGATGTGGCCCTTGTTCATCCATGGTGCCATCAGTGACTTCACCACACTACCTGAGAAACCATGTTCGTCGTTACCAGGAATGTCTACATAGCTATCTGAATACAGAATCATATGTAACACATATCCTGTTTCACAGTCACACAGTACAAAGAATTTCAATCCAAATCTGTTTTGTTTGGAGGGAATATACTGCTTGAATGAAACACGTTCTTTGAAAAGCACAAGGGATTCGTCAATCACCAGCTTCTGTGCTGGTACGTAAAAATCTCTGAACTTTCTAATCACTTGATTCATATAATGCCTCACTCGCCAAAGTCTATCATCCTCTGTCCGGTCCTCATTACTTGCAAAATGCAGACACCGGAGGAGTATCTGAACCTGTTTCGGGACATATATTTCCCGAAGAAAGGTGTTGGAATAGTCAGATCTTTGCTCCAGTAATCTGTGATAGCATGTTTGACACAGTGCTTCATCAACATACATAATGCTTAAAATACATACATTTCACCTACAGTGGTGGTTTTCCAACGTTGCAATCGTGAAAATTCTGTTATCTCTCTTCTAATGAGATGAAGGTTCGTTTGGTGTACAATATATTCCATGAGCGGCTCATCATAGAATGCTGTAAAATAATCCAATTCACACATATCCTCTCCATTATCAGGGGAAAAGCTCTGTAATCCCAATGTCTTTATTGTCAAATAAAGCCAAATTTATAGCCCCTGAATTCAAGGAATAAAACCAGCACCATCACTCCACACTAGTACACCTGGTGTCCTGCGAGATGCAACAGGGGCACGACGGCAAGGAAGCGATGCACACCATGGACCAGGAGCTGAAGCCCGTCTACGCACAGTACGGGCGCTACGTGCATGTGAGGTGGATGCACATGAACATGAGGCTCTTGGTGCCTCAGGAGAAGAGTAGGGTAGAGGCGAAGGAGGAACCCCACACCCATATGCAGGGAAAACCCAGCGACCTCCCCATAGCAGCAAACCAGATTGCCCCCAGGAGCTACGGGGCACGGCCTGGGAAATGGAGAAGAGCGAGAGGTGAAGCACCCGAGAGAAAAGGGACTCAAAACCCCAGCACACGTGTACACCGCCCACATCAAAACAAACAACCACAGCCCATGTGCAGGAGGCGCCAATCTACAAGGAGCCCAATCGGGCTACAAGGAGGCCAATCTGGCAACCCTGTGCAGCGCAGGACAGTGCACGGACTGCACGGAGAGAAGACAAACACGAAAGAACGAAACAGGACCGAAAACCGAGAAGCTTGGAGAAGGACTAACAAGCCCCAGAAAGGACCAGAAGACGACAGACATGCCAAGAATACGGGAAGAATCAAAACCTTCCCGATCCCTCTAGAACATAAAGAAGCAAGCATGAAACACAAAGGCACGGAAGGCAAAGTCACACCCGAGACCAAAAGTAATGAAAATCCCCAAGAAGAGGGGAACATGACTGTGAAGGCCCGACCCAAAAAGGTTGGAGAAACGGACCCACCAACAGGACGAACCCGACGAATCCAAGGGACAAGGAACCAATCCTGGGGAGGGGCCGACTCCCAAAAATATGTACGGAGATGGGGGGAGGGGGAAGAAAAAACCCACACCTCGTAACCGTAAGCCCCGCCCAGAGGGTAGAAAAACCCAGGTGGGGTCTAAACGTCAGCCCCTCACCAGCCCTGGAAACCCACTAGGCAGGTCCCGGGGCCGAGCCGTTCCCCCAAAGCCCCAGCCTCACAAGAAAAGCCCGGGCAACCGGACAAGTACTAAAGAAGGGAGCCCACTGGCAGACTCATATAACACAGCTGGAGGAACAGGCTTGAATGCCTCTGTCGGTACCCTGGAAAGGAGGAAATCCCCGAGACCACCGAGTCTTAAGACCAGCGAAGCGCTGCCCTGACCCCAAACCCACAGATGGTAAGAATCTGGATGCAGGGAGGAAGGAGGGGGGGGGGAGACCAAAACAGGGAAAAGACAAGAGGGCACGAAAAGAACAAAACTGAAGCATCCAACACCTCCAAACCCCGTCACGCCAACCAAAACGGGGCAGCCCCAGGGCTCTCGGGTAGCAAACGACTTAGCGCGTTGCACCAACAAAACTCAACTTGCAATGCCCGTGCTGCCTGCACCCGCATAGTCAGCCTAAGAGTGAGTAATCGAGCCACAAAAAAGCAACAAAACTCGCAGGGCTCCAGGCAGAAGGTGCCACCGACGCCACAAGCAGCAGACGGAGGCAAAACAGTGAGAGTCACCCTGAGACAAGGGGACAGAGCAACCCTAGAACTTGCACAAAGTGAAGGGGGACTCCAGGGTAAAATCCATCGAATCCATCCGCCCCCACGGGGTTTTCCAGGGTCCTAAGCGTTTACCTACAGGGACTCACGCCCTGGTAATCACAGTCAGGGTACTGCTAACTGGCGCCCACAAATACCAAACAACTTTCTAAGAACTGAATCCCCTGGGACGTGCACATTCACGGGGACCTAGCAGAGGGAACCACCAGAAGAAGGAAGAGTACTCAGTACACAGGGGGCAAGAACCAAGGCAGACCACCCCACCAGGCAGACAAACAAAAAGAAAAAGAAAACCCTGCAAGAGGACAGCGTACCCAGGCGGAACAGAGCCGGCCACTATGATTTGTGAAAAACAAGCTGCACAGTTCCCTGCGCCCCTGCCAGTGCAAACTGCTCCCTACCTCAAGGTGAACAAGGGAGACAGAACACCATAGCACACAAAGGGCGGTCGAAAACCAAGCAGTAAATGGCTTAGCAGGGGCAAAACCCAAGGAACTTGTGGAAGGTGGCCCCAACGGCAGTACTTACAGGCCACCTAGGGAAGGAAACCCTAGACGCATGCTGCCCGAGTACTGGGCTCACGCACCACCTAGAAGACAGTCAACCACACTCTAGGTACAGTGCTGAAACAACCACCGGAGCCAGAGCACACGACCTCAGCCTCTAGCATCAGCCTTAGAACTGACAAGTGGATAGACGGTGTGAGGGGTCTGGGGGGCTCCCCCTTCCCCTCCATGGGAGGGGGGGGGCAGCTGCACAGACAGCTGTGTAGCAACGTGTGACGTCATGACTGTTTGCTCGTTTCTTTTAGGGGAGTTCTGTTCACTTGTTCACATAACTTTGGTAGTAATAATTTCACCAGAATAAGGGTTTGTTTTGGGATGCATACCTCTCTTGGTGCCTGACCGGGTCGATGGCAGACATAGAATGCTTCCAACCACATGGGGGTTTCTATAGGTCATTGCTCCCCATGCCTCTCTGAGGGGGCCAGGTTCTGGCTCGTGGTCCCCGGTAGGCTCACAGAACTCCATACACATGACTGATGCCAAAGTCTGACATTAGCATATCAGCCTAGTAAGCTCCAGGGAGCCGAAGGCGCTCCCCCAGAAAATATCCCACAGTCCCCACCCCATTACATTACTAATTCCTATAAAGATTGTTATATTTACCAACCTTCTTTAGTAAAGAAGAGTAGAAACAAGCTCGTGCCCTTACATCACATTAAACTATTCTTCATAATTTTGTCATATAATTAGCTAATATTAATAACATTAACCTGCACAAACACTAACAGTCCCCCTGAAGCTGAAACAAAATCTTCCATCCATAGGCTGAGTTCATCCACTTATTTGAGTGGTATCACAGGAAAAGATCTAGTCAACAATTTGTATACAGGAATAAAACATTTACATGAATAAGCCTATAAGGATATTTACTACTGTGTTAAATTTAAATTATATTAAAATTAATTACTGAAATCAGTCATCAGGAAGAATAATCTAACCTGTTTCAGGTGTAGGGGTTGGAGGTGATTGTATGGACAGATGACGTGAGATGGGTAGATCTCTAGGTCTTCCCAGTTTACCTCCAAGTCTTACTAATCCAGAAACAACCTTGCTGGCTCTCGTAGTGCCTTGGATGTTACTAATACTACTGCTTGTACAGCTACTATCACAAGTAGTAGGTGCTTCAGCTTTACTACTCCCATTACTGCTACTGTTGCTCAGGCTATTGCTGAAGATCACAGCTGCTGTAGTTTCAAACATTGCAATATTATAATACTGTACAGGTTCTAGTTAAAATAATTATTTATACAAATAACTTTAATGATCAGTAACAGGTTAAAATAATAAAACTTAAATTTAAAGTACACCTGCTGTATGCAGCACCCAATTTCTGCAAAAAGCATGCAAACTTGAGTGAACTGAGAGTTTCAAGCAGAAACAAAAGAAACTGTATTTTATCATATAAAGCAAGAGATACGTATATATATTTCTGCAAGCAAATAATATAATAAGTTTAGCAGTGTCAGAAGATAAACTGGATATTGTAATAATGCAATTTGAGAAGCACTATAAGCTTGCTACTGTCTGTGAAGATTAATGCTCATCTCTTGGCAACAATTAAGCCCTTCTTTATCCACAATTCTAAATATTTACATTATCAAATCCTTGCAAAGCAACTTCAAGAAAACTCTTGCCAACTACAAGAGCGGCTTCTAGCACATTACCATTCAAGGGGTCAGTGTAAGCATTGGGAGAAGACAGCCTCCGTAATGAACTAGTATTATATGGCACGTGTTCTGATGAATTTTTGTTATTGTTAACATTTTGCGTTGTTCGAGGAACACTTGATGATCTTGTAAAAGTACCAGAAGGTGCCGCTGACTGTGGGCCTCGATGAACATCTGGTCTACCCCCAACAGTAGGTATATGATGTGCCACTCTACTTGAATAACCAGGTGGTCTTGGATATTGCTGCAACACAAAAAGCAATCATATTTTAGACTCCAATTATTCTTTACCATATCAATTAACCCTTAAACTGCACAAAACATACATATAAGATTTGACATAACTCAAGTTTTTCAAACTTGCACAAACACTTTCCAATTTTTTGTGCATAATCAACTAGGCAAGCGCTCCAACTTTGTCTAAATGATCACAACGCAACTTGAAAAAAAAACAGCGTTAAATGTAATGAAATGCCATTTTCTGGGTGAGTCCCGGAGGCTCCCAGAAGCTATCCAGGCTGATATGGATATCCCTAACTTTGGCATCAGTCGATATTGGTTAAGTTCTAAGCCTACCGGGGACCACGGCCAGAACCTGGTCCCCTCAGAAAGGCACGAGGAGCAATGGCCTACAGAAATGCATGTGTGATTTTGGAGCATTCTATATCTGCCATTGATTGAGAGAGGCATCCAGAGGGGTAAGCGCCCCAAAACAAACCCCTATTCTGGTGAAACCAATGAAAATAACCAAACAAGTGGACAGAACCCCCCCAAATAAAAACGAGCATGACGTCACACGCGCCGCATGTTTGTGCAGCAACCCCCCTCCCCCTCCCCGGAAGGGGGAAAAGGAAGCCCTCTGTTACGAACAACCTCCTGTGGAGGTCCTGTGGAGGTTGGTTTCGGTTGTAAAATGTTGGTGGACTCAGTGACGAGTGTTTATTAGAATAAATCCCCAGATGAGATCAGAGAGGCTGCGAGTCACCATTATTACTCCGCCCAGTAAAGTAGTGCCTTCTCAGCTGGAGATCATTAGAAATAATGTGAACTGGAATAGCCTAACTATGTAAGGGAAAAATGGACTCTATCAAAAAGTATGCATGGGGAATATAGTAAATAAAATCATTAATGTGTTTGATAGCATATGTAAAGAATAGAATATTAAAGGGCGATGATGCAAGAGAGGTGGACACTATCTTGACTGGAGGGGGAGGTGTATCACTGCCGACCGTCCCTGCTATTTGAGGGGTTTTCTCCGGCCGTACAGTCAGATAAGCCTATCCTTGTATATAACCAGGGTTGCAAGATTGGGTAGAGTAATATTACAGAAGTTGGAGAGGTTTTATAAGAGTCCAGGTTTCCTAGAGGCTAAAATATGTGTGTCATTGGATGATAGCATTTGTGGCTGGGTGCACGATACCAGGTATGGGACAGTGAGCTGTGGGGTGGTCAGAGCCACTTGAGTTTATAATACAAAGTGATCTTATGTTGTGAGGAAAACGCCTTGTCGAATGTATTCCTGTGTGACTTGTACGTATAAATTTGTGACTTGTGTACTAGGCTGTTTTCCTTACTCCTTATACTCCCTAGACAACATTTTAAGGACCACCACCACCAAATTCTCGATAGCTCTCTATGACAACAAAATCGTATCACTACTGATAACATCAGTAAGACACAGGCCCGTGATACCCCCGACCCCCTCGCCAGCAATCCACACAGCAGTTCTGAGGCTGAATATCAAACTATGCAAAATAACGCCGACAGGAGGGAGAGAGCATTGCCGGGGAGCCTCTGGGACTTGCCCAGAAAATCGCGTTTCAATACATTCAAAGCTGGTTTTCTGGGGGAAGCCCCTACGGCTCTCCGGAGCTAATTCACCAAAGACTAAAATAATGAATGGGACTTACCCGGGAGGTGGTCGTTGCTCCACACCTCAACCTGAAGTCAAGAAAGGCTGTAGCTGCCGACCCAAAGCGACACAGGCTCAACTAGGTCCAGGAACATTTACGAGGTAGCGTGCAGCCAGGACCCTGTTCGATCGCCAAAAAACCCTGTGCCCGAATGTCAGCCCCAGGATATGTTCCCAAAGATGGCGGCAAGAGCCGCAAACTTACGAACGTCATGGGCACGGGAATAGACCACAGGCTGGCTAGACTTAATAACCCTGCGGACAACCTGAGAGACCCGCACCCGCGAACAGGGAAGAAGGGAAACCGGATCAACCCAAAGCGCGTCCCCGGACACAGAAGCCTTGCTGTGCAAATAACGGCGGAGGACCGCAACCGGACAAAACACATGATGCACCCCCAGCCAGATCAACCAATCATCAACAACCCAAGTACCCCTCTGGAAAGCAGCAGTCTCCTTTGCCAGAAAAGAAGGAGATGGCTGCAGATGAACAAAACTATCACCATGACCGAAAGAGCAGAAACCCTCTGCCCCAGAGGACAGCATGAAGCTCCCAGACCCAACCCCCAAAGGCCAATGCTAACAGGAAAAAGAGTCTTCGAAAAGCAATCCTGAACCGAAGGGGCCACAACAAACCAAGAAGAGAAATAGTAGAGAACCCTATCCAAAGACAAGGACGGCTCAGGCGGTGCATGAGCAGGCCGAAGATGAAATTACGCATGAGACAGCTTGTGAAACGGTGCAGAAGTAAGTAATTTCAATACCGAAGCTGAAGCGGCTCCATCAGCGGCACACGATACGAGGCGACGGTATTCGGCATAAGATGACGGTCCTGGAACAACCATGAGAAAAAGTACACAGAAGGTGGTGGAGGCCAAGACCATCAGTAGTTATATATGGAGTTATATGACAAAGAGTGCTGGGAAGACGGGACACCACGAGCGTAGCTCTCATCTTGTAACTACACTTAGGTAATTACTTAGGTAATTACCACCCAAACTGAAAGCGAAGTACAACGACGAAGAGTCAAAAAGAAATGAAAGGACCGCCAGGAAACTTCATACTGCCACCAAGACGAAGCCCGCAGTATGGATATCATCAATGAAGCCACCTGATCACGATATAATTGGTGATGAACTCAAGTTAAAGATACCAGACGCGAAGACTCGAGGAGAAGAGCAAACCATTCTCGTAACTGACCGGGCCAATCTTCTGAAAGAGGCCGAGCTGCACAAAAACCTTCAGGTTCAGACACCGGGCAAGCAGTGCCTGAAACCACGGCTGGGCCCGCCATCACGGGGTCAAGAGGACTACTCGCGCCTGGTAAGTCTCCAAGCGAGCAAGGACCTGGAGCAATAGTTGAACCAGGGGGAAGAGGTACAAGAAACCACACTTCTACTAGTCCTGCCAAAAGGCACCGATCCCAACAGCCTCTCGGTCAGGGAAGGGCGCTGCATACACTGAAAGATGCCTTGACCATGCTGAGGCGAAGAGGTCCACCTCCGTTTGACAGAGCCAACTGAATGAGTCGGCATTGACCGTTCAACCCGAAAGGGAGACAACGAAAGCGGTAAGCCCCAAAACAAAACCGAGCCAGTCCCTGAACCCAGGATGAATAGGGACATGCCAATACACATCCTTGAGGTCCAGGGATACCATCTAAGCGCCTGACTCCAACATAAGCCGAACCTAGGATAGTGTGGGTCATCCGAAAGGAGGGGCAAAAAACCAGCGTTGAATGTAATGAAACTCCATTTTCTGGGTGAGTCCCAGAGGCTCCCCGGAACAATCCATGGCTGATATGGATACCCTAACTATTTTGCATCAGTCGATGTGGGTGGAGTTCTAGGCCTACCGGGGACCACGAGCCAGAACCTGGCCCCCTCAGAGAGGCACGGGGAGCAATGGCCCATAGAAATGCACATGTGATTTGGAGCATTCTATATCTGCCATCGACCGGGACAGGCACCCAGAAAGGTAAGCGCCACAAAACAAACCCCTATTCTGGTAAACAACAAAAATCGACAAACGAGTGGACAGAACTCCCCCAGGAAAACGAACTAACAAGCATGACGTCACGCGAGCCGCGCCGCATGTCTGTGCAGCTTACCCCTCCCTGGGAGGGGGAAGGGGAAGCCCCAGACCCCCGCGCTGGCGATCCTCGCCCCAGTTCTGAGGCTGGATATCAAAACCACGAAAAAAACGCCGACCGGAGGGCGGGAGGGTGCCGGGAGCCTCCGGAACTCACCCAGAAAATGGCGTTTCATTACATTCAACGCTGGTTTTCTGCGGGGAGCCCCTACGGCTCCCCGGAGCTACTTCACCAAAGACTACCTAAGAAAACAAGGGGACATACCCGGGAGGCGGTCGGTGAACCACTCCTCAACACGAAGTCGAGACAACAACCCAAGGACCCCTCCAGAAAGCAGCAGGCACAACATTCGCCAGAAAAAGGGAGAACGGCCGCAGACTAATAAACCTATGACCAAGACCATAAGAGCCAAAAACCACTGCGCCTGAGAAGAGCATGAAGCTCTGCCACACGACCCCCAGAGGCCAATGTGAACATAAAAAAAAAAGAGAGCCGAGGCAAAGCAAACCTGACCCCAAGGAGCGACAACCACCAAGGAGAAGAAAAACAGGAGAGCACCCTGTCCAAAGACCAGGACGGCACAGGCAGCGCATAAGCAGGCCGGAGGTGAAACAACGCACGAGACAGCCCGAGAAACGGCACAGAAGGAACATCGATACCGAAAGCTAGCAGCAGAATCCAAGGTGCCAGACCCAGGAACGGCCCCAAGCGCCTCTACATCCTCCGCAAGCCAATCCCATGACAGCCCCAGGAGGGAAAAGAAAACGCAGGACCAAAACCAAAATGCCACAAGCGTGCAAGTCCACCGCCACAAGTGCAGCCGACAGGGAAGGAACCCGCATAAGGAGCCGCCCCGCACCAACACCCCGCAGAAGGGCAGGAGCGAAAAGACTCATTAAGAGGAGCAAAATCGCCCAAAGGAAAACGAGTAGCGCCGAGACAGCGCGAAGAGAAGAGATATGCACAAAAGAACAAGAAGGCCAAACACCCAGAAGCTGCCGGGAAGAGGACCCACAAACCCTAGAAAGGACCGGAGGGAAGCTCAACCGAATGACGACAGACGTACCAGAAAACGGGAAGGAGCAAAACCGTCCCAAACCTTCGAGAACAAAAAGAAGCAAACACAAAGGACGAAGGCACAAAAACCCCGTCGCACCGAGACCAAAAGTCATGCAGAAACCCCAAGAAGAGGGGGGACATGACTGAGAAGGCCCGTCCCGGAAAAATGGGGCGAAGACCGT